TGCTCTCTAAAATAAAATTTACAAAACAACAACAGAAAAAACCTCTCTTGGTGTCTGCATACATTTTCATCTTTAAATGAGTCATGCTCACCACGGTTTCCTTTTTAAAGTTGCTTTGCATGTTTTGAGATGATTAACAACTGGAAAACCCCTAGGCTTGGGTAACTAAACAGTCATTGGGGATGGAAAGAATATGGGGATGAAAGAGGTTCCTTGGAGAACCTAAAGGAGAGATTCAGCCCAAGCAGAATGAAAATTGCCTTTATCACACAGTTGTTTTCATTAAGAATGCACGCGTAGCCCTGGCAGGTGTGGCTCAGTGGATTGAGCGCGGGCCTGCGAACCAGACAATCGCGGTTTGACTCCCAGTCAGGGCACATGCCTGGGTTGCAGGCCGGTTCCCTGCAGGCCAGTTCCCAGCAGGGGACGCACGAAAGGCAACCATACATTGATGTTTCTCTCCCCCTCTCCTTCCCTTCCCCTCTAAAGATAAATAAATAAAATATTTAAAAAAAAGAAAAAAAAGAATGCACGCATAACACACACACACACACACACAAAAGGAAAGCAATTCTAGACACTGCTCCTGGAAGTTGGGCTGCTTCTTTGAAATGTAGAATTTTTAAGCTTTGTGTGAGGTCCTAAATGCTTAATTCATATTTTGGTTGCCAGTGCTTTCTTTAACAATTTGAGGGTTTTTTCCAGTTAGTAACATATACAAGTCAGAGCTGGCTATATTTTTAATAGGACTTTATTTATTTATTTATATTTAGAGAGAGGGGGATGGAAGGAGAAAGAGAGGGAGAGAAACATCGATGTTAGAAAGAGAAACATTGATCAGCTGCCTCTTGCACACACCCTGACTGGGGACTGAACTCACAACCCAGGCATGTGCCCTGACTGGGAATTGAACCATCGACCTTTCATTTTACAGAATGATCCCCAATGCACTGAAACACTGGTCAGGACAGAACTAGCTATGTTGTCCTCATGTGTAATCCGGAATTATTCTTCTGAATCTTAGCGTTTTCCTTGATGTCATACTGCCTTCCTGCCCATCCATAGTTCACTGAAAAAAGAAGCAAGGTGCACCACTTATTTTCATTCACTAATTAGCAGTAGCATCTTTATACTTCTCCAAAATAAATAGTTTTTGTAAAAATGTAAAGTACTCATTTCACAACACCCAAACTGTCACACAAGTGGAAAGAATGTAGCAACACATAGCTGTAATTCCACCATCTGGAGATGACCACTGTCTGCATTTTGCTGTGTCCATCCAGCCACTGTAACCATGCAAAAACTTCATTTCTTTAATCCGGCTTTTCCCCCTTCTTTCCTTTTGATTCATACTGGCCTTGTCCAGCCTTGGAGCTCCCTGACTCACCTGCCTCCTTCTCCCTTGCACATCCACTCCTTCAATCACTAAGCCCTCAGGACAGTGAGGCTCTGATCAGCATCAAACAGTCTTAGGAGCAAAGCCTCCTAAGGTCTGTTGGTCACAGAGACAGAGTTTGTGTCAAACCAAAGGTAACCTGTAAGCCTGAGCTGTGTTTCAGCTCCAGGCCCAGAAAAGCAGAACATCCCCACGGACCACACCCTTGTGAAACCAGACAGTGCAGCCCCCCGGCTGGCATCAGGACCAGGTGCAATGACCAGCTCCCCTTACCCTGGCACCAGCCAATCAGTAGAGACCATGACCCTAACTCCCCTAGTCACCATGATTAATGATTTTTCCCCATATAACCCATCCCCTAGAAGCCAGGAGGAGCCAGGTCGAGCCAGGTCTTACATAGCAGCTCACCTGTGCCTCCAGGTTTGGCACCATTGCCTAAAATACACCTTTACTTTCTTCACTGCAAACTCCTGTTGGGTTTTGATTGGGCTTTAATATGCAAAGGCATATGAACCCCTTTAATTTAGTAACAGCACCTCCATGCCTACCCTGACATAACTGGATCCAATTTAAATATTTAAATGAATCCATTTAAATGGATCATTATATATGATATCTTTAAATAAAATTACTGTTCTGTAACCTGCTTTTTTGATTAAATAATATGTCGTTTTTCTGTGTCAGTAAATAAAGACTCACATTACTTTTAATGGTTGCATAATATTCCCTTGTATAGCTATACTGTTGTTTAGCTAAATGTATTCTATTAACCCATCATCCAGATTGTTCCTGCCTTTTGGCTATTATAATGCCCATTGCAAAGATAGATTTGTATAGACATCTTATACAAACAACTTTTGTTTCCTTAGATTTAAATCTTAGAAGTGTATATTTGAAGAGATTAAGCAAAAGAGAATCTCATAGACACAGACAACAGTGTGGTGATTCCCAGAGGGAAAGGGGGCGGAGGAGGTAGAGGAGGATATGGAAGGAGACCTGACTTGGAGTAATGAATATACAATATAGCACACAGATGATGTATTATAGAATTGTACACCTGAAACCTATATAACTTTATAACCAATGTCACCCCAATAAAGTCAATGAAAAGGAAGAAAGACATGGAATAAATATTTAGCTTTTACAAAAGAAAAACATATTAAATCCTTCATCCATTTGGTACATGTTTCTGTGTAGAGTGAGAGCTCATTCTCTTTTTTTGAATGGCCAGTCAATTGTTCCAATACTGTTTGTTGGAAAATGCAGCTCTGCCCCGCTGATTTGAAATGGCCGTCATCATATATTAATTTCCCACACTAATGGATCTCTTTTGTTTCCAAGACAAGGTTGCACTGTTGTCATTACGATACCAAGTTCCAAGGTGGGGGTTTTAGACTTAAAATCTTGTCAGGGTTCTCCAGAGAACAGAATCAATAGAATATATAGAGATAAATATAAAGAGTTTATTATAGGACAAACTCATTGATTCACATGATTACAGAGGTGGAGAAGTGTCATGATCTGGCATTGGTTCACATGATTACAGAGAAGTGTCATGATCTGGCATCTGCAAGCTGGAGAACCAGGAAAGCTGGTGGTATAATTCAGTTCCAGGCCCAAGGCCTGAGGACTAGGGTATGAGTTTCAGAGTCTGAAGGGGGACTGTCAGAGCTGGGATCGGAGGTTTGGAGAAGATACAGGTTTAGATAGAGAAGTTAGAGGTTTAGATAGAGAAGTTAGAGAAGATCTAAAGAACAGAGAGCAAGAATTCACTTTTACTTCACCTTTTTGTTCTGTTTGGATCATCAAGAGATTGGATGATGCCCATCCTCGCGGGCGAAGATCTTCTTTAGTCTATGGACTCAAATGCTAATCTCTTCCAGAAACAGCTTCACAGATGCACCCAGAAATAAGGTCTTGCCAGCTATCTGGACTTCCACTAGCCAAGTCAAGTTGGCACATAAACCTAGAACCTCCAGTTTCTGCAGCCATCTGCTAGTTGCCTGCTGGGATAAAAGTTGCTGCAGAGTCCATTCTTTATATAGTATATTTCAATGGCATTGCTCTGCAGGATGCAGAGAGCACACGGAGAGTCCTCATATCGGCCAGCCTTGATTTGTACTGTAGTAAGTGTGCTACAAATATTTCATTTCAGGAACCGGCACTCAGTGTCAGCTGAAGAAGACATTGGTTCATTATAAGTGTACAATAAAGGATATCAATAGTATGACAGTAAGGCCCTGGCTGGCGTAGCTCTAGATTGAGTGTGAGCCTGAGAACCAGAGGATGGTGGTTCAATTCCCAGTGAGGGCACATGCCTGGGTTGCAGGCCAGTTCCCAGCACGGGACGCACGAGAGGCAACCATACATTGATATTTCTCTCCCTCTCTCCTTCCCTTCCCCTCTAAAGATAAATTTTTTAGAAAGAAAGAAAAAAAATAGTATGACAGTAGCCGATCTTTCACTGACCTTAGTCTGAGGTATGAGGAGGCATAATAAATAATGCCTGTTCTCCCGGCCTGGATTGTGAGCCAGTTGAGAAGACAAAAGAGGGGGAAAGATGGCAGACAAAAATATGTATACCTTTATTTTGGATAAAGCTGAGATTGGAGAATGTAGCTTATAACTGTAGGCTGCTGGGCTTCTGAATACTGCACCTGAAATTTAGGCAGACTTCAGAGATCACAGGCTCTGCTGGACCCTGAAGACCGTCATCACCATAGGGGCTGGCTCTTCTCACAGAGGCAAAGAACAAAAGAGAACATTTACTTTCTGTGGGCAGACTGATTCCCCAAAAGGAAGGAGAGGAGCAGGGCTTCAGCTACGAAAGCAGTTTCTGCTTTCATGTCCACCAATCAGATTAAATTGTTCCCTTCCAGGGGCAGTGAAGTATTGCAAGAGCCTTAGGAGTGTTGATGTTCGTGGAGTACTTTCCTTGGGATAGGAAATATAAAAAAAAAAAATGTCAGCAGAGGTTTTCCCTAGTACTTTGTAGAAGATCCTGCCCTGGTTTAATCAACTGTGGCTGATGCAGCAGGGGTCACATGATATAGATCAGGACAAGGCCATGGTGGCCAAGGTTATGGCCGTGCTGTATTTTGAATAGTGCTATGATCGGTTTTATTTCTTGGCCCCTTCCTGTTTCTCTAAGCTTATCTCTTGCCATTCCCACTTCTTTTTTAAATTTTTAAAAATTGATTGGTTTTAGCCCTGGCTGGTGTAGCTCAGTGGATTGAGCGCGGGCCTGCGAACCAGACAATCGCGGTTTGATTCCCAGTCAGGGCACATGCCTGGGTTGCAGACCTGTTCCCTGCAGGCCAGTTCCCAGCAGGAGATGCACAAAAGGCAACCATACATTGATGTTTCTCTCCCTCTCTCCTTCCCTTCCCCTCTGAAGATAAATAAATAAAATCTTTAAAAAAATTGATTGGTTTTACATAGAGAGAGACAAGGAAAGATAGAAAAAAACAAACATCGATATGAAAGAGAAACATCCCATATGTGCCCTGACTGGGGATCAATCCCACACCTTGGTGTATTAGGATGACGTCCTAACCAACCGAGTACCCAACACCTACTCTTCCTTCTGCTTGGTTTTTCAAAGGTATCTTACCTTCTGGAAGGTGGCAGCATGGCCCATGAAGACTTCTGTGGACACACTGGTCAGTTGAACCCAGGAGACCTGCAGGTATGGTCAGGGACAAGGAATTATTGATGGTTTAGTAGTCTTTGGGTATGCACACTTCATCTGCCCACTGCCAGTACAGTCACACTTTACTCTCTGTCTTGCATATCTTTGACCTTTGCTTTTCTATGGATCCTTCCACTCGGCCTGGAACCTGCAAAGGTCTCTTGTATTCCTCCCTCACATTTTCCTTGACCCTCTCAATCACTTTTAGCTCCCACCTAGTCTTTCTCTTACATTTCACAAAAGACAAATCAAGTGTAACTGTCTCAGTTTCCTTTATCTTCCATTTCATTCTTCATTCATTGAATTCAGGGTTGGCCTCTCAGCACCTCCCAAACCTTTACTGGAGCTGTTCAGGTAATGGCCACTCTGATGTCCCCATTGCCAAATTCAGTCCTCATTTTTGTAGACCTTTCTACTGTATTTGAGACAATTTACTACTTACCTTCCAGCTGGCTTGCAGGGGTAGGTGTTATAGCTTAAGACAATTGTCCAAACCCCTGCTACCATCCTACTCTTGTCTGAGATGTAATAGAATTAAAAACCTCCAGGAAATGCTTGGGTCATCTTTGCCAGTTTGTAAGTCTGAACTCTGTGTCAGTTATTTTCTGGGATCATTGACATACTTGGCAGATTGATGACTGTAAATGTTTGAGTCATGGTGTTTCAATGCACAAGGAATTTGAAGGCAGAAAAGCAAAAGCATGGTTGAGGCAAAAAATCAACAGTGACCTTTCAGTGGAGCAGAACATAAAGTGGAGATGGCCTAGAAAGGTCTATATAATGACCGGTCCTGACCTGACCAGGGAAGTGGTGACTGCTCTGCCCTCCATGGAGCAGTTCTAAAGTGTGTCTGTGTGGACCCCAGTGGGACTGATCTCCAGGTGCCCCACTCTTTTTGCCTTCCTCCCTTGCCTAGCTCACTCTTCCCTGCTCTCCCCTACTTGTGCTTTCTGCATCACTTTCCAAATAAATTACCTGCACTGAAGTCCTTATCTCAGGATCTTCTGTGGGAGAAGTCAAGCTAAGACAGGCAAGAAATGTATCATGTTTCACTTCTTCATTCCTAATATACTCTTAATAAAGAAATAAACAAATGCTTGAAGAATCTCTACAGCAGTGAAGGCAATGACTGTTTTCTCCCAGTAGTGAGGGTTCCTGTGCCAGAATTGAGCAAGCAGAGACTCAAGTCACTCACCCATGGTATAGTGGACACCGTGGGTTGGCACATGTATCTTTAGGCCCTCACACTTATCCATCCCCCACCTGCTGGGAATATCAACTGCTGACAGCTCACAGCTGCATCCCACCCTGGTCAATGTCGTCTGCAGCAGGGACTGTCTCTTACAAGGTTGTACCTCCTACTGGGGGTGGTGCACAGTCACTGGTTTGCTCATGTGGGGATAAAAAGGGCTGGCTACCTTGCCTTAATTTGGGACAATTCTGAAGGTTTATCCAACTCCAGACATCCCTGTTGGATTGGCTAAGGCCTTTGTTGTGACCGCATTGCTGGCTGGCTTCTCTACCTACCCAATCATGCTTTTTTTTGTTCTTGTTCTTAAGATGCTCCCAAGAGCATTCCCCAATATACTGTCTGCCTGCATCTCCCCATCTCAGTGCTCAGTCAAAGACTCAGGGATACCAAACACAGGCTCCTTCCATTTGTGTGAATTTGAGATCTGATGCTCTGATTTCAAACGGGAAGCATAGGATACATGAGGAAAACTAGAAAGGATTCAGTGTTATTGTTGTTTTCTTATTCCTCATGATGCCCAGGACTGTGAAACAGCACTTCTGAATTACCTTACTAGTTACCATGTCATAATGGTCCCACCTGCAGACTTGTTTGAGTCTGGGTTATATTTCCCTCTTCTGGTCTGCTGTTTACAGTGGATGACTGCGGGCCGGGGCATTCTTCACGCTGAGATGCCATGCTCAGAGGAGCCAGCCCATGGCCTACAACTGTGGGTTAATTTGAAGAGCTCAGAGAAGATGGTGGAGCCTCAGTACCAGGAACTGAAAAGTAAAGAAATTCCTAAACCCAGTAAGGACGGTGTGACAGTTGCTGTCATCTCTGGAGAAGCCCTGGGAATAAAGGTGAGCTGTGCTGTCTTGTGTTTGTGAAAATTGAGGTGCTCGGTGATGTAGCCTGGTCCCATTTGGGTTCTCAGTTGTCATTGGGATTATCACAGTTCATGTCCTGTAGGATGGACTTGCTTTGAAGGTGTCAGAATATGTGAAACCTAAGGGGACCCAGAATTGTTACTGCCACATGCAAACCCAGAAAGTTACAAAAACTACAAGTAAGCAAGTTCATATTAAATATTTGGTCAAAAAGCAATTTTCAAGGTATATCTTAATATGTGTGCTGATTTAGCTTCTTTCCTTTGCTTATTGTGCAATTTCATAGTTCCTCAGAACTGCCAGATCACTAATGTTTTAAGAAACAAACAAAAACTAAAACCAACTTCAGTCCCTGAAGGGTTATTTAAATTATATACGCCCAACTTAGCAAGGAAAATACAACTGCTACATCATAGAAAGGTTTTTAAAAAGAATATGAACATTTATTTACCCCATGCACATCATACCCACCCTGTACATTCTTCTCAACTCAGGCTGCAATATTTCAGCTTAGGGTCCCACCTTTTAAATCAAGTAAGGATCAACTGAGGGTAAAAATTATGGACAGATTTGTGGTAGGAGAAGGGTTTCGTAAGTTCTGGGTCAATTGCACACCATGTCTGCTGCTGGAGAAGCCAAGTTTGAAGTAACATCCAGCTGGGGCGTTAACTGCATACTGTGGTCTCTTAGGTAGGGTTTCCCAGAAGCATACCCAAAACGAGAATTCGTGTGCATCTGATTTAAAGGAAGTGCCTGTGGGGGGACGGACTGAGGAGCCAAGACAGGGAAGGGTAGGGAGCCAAGTAAGGGTATCATCTCAAGTAAACTCCCCAGAAGGACAGTGACTTGAGGATCAGTCCACCTCCGAGTTGTCCTGACTCACCCTAGGGCTAGGCAGCTGGGCTTTCATGCTTCCTTACCCTGTCATTACTCATGGCCATTAATTTTGGGTGGGAGGTCACAGAAATGTTTTAAAGGAATCCAAGGGGATCTGGGAGGGGCCCTGACACTCAGTTTCACACATGCCACCTGGAGTTGAGAGCATCAAGAAATTGGGAACCACTTTGCCATTCTCCATGCGGGCATCCAGCACTTAAAACTACTTTACATACTAATTTATGTACATTTAAATTTGGCTGAGAAGCACCTACAGTGACAATAGCTTGGCAGTGGCTGCTAGCCAGCCACTCGGTGAGGGATGTATCTCAGTGGGTAATAGGTTGGTCATGATTATTGGTTGGGACTTAGTGGTTCTATATTTTCTACACTGTAACCCTAGTTCTTTTACCTGTACCAGGCCTAGGCATGTGCATTATTTCACTTTGTGTTTCCACTGCAAACAGAAGTAATTGAAGGAAACAGAATCAAAAGCTGCTCCCTATTCAGCATCAATGCCCGCTCTCTCTGTGTACTTTGCAGTTGGAAACATGCCCCTTCACCATGTTTCTGACCCATTTCTGTTTTGCTGAGCATTGAGCTCTGCGCTTCCTTAGCTGCATGGCAAGCATTTCCTTGCCTTCAGTGCCACAGAAGAGAATTCAGGTCCTGTGGAATCTTCCTGGTATGAGGCAAAAGATGATACTGTGTGTGGAGTCAGTCAGGGAGGTAGGTGGAAGGAGGGTTGAACTCATGCAGATGAGAAGCTGCTTTCTCTGTTGCCTATGGGGCTTTTCACTCCGTGTTTCTAGGGCTCTCCATTTCAACCAAAGCACAAGGCTTTGTGGAATTATCCTTAAGATTTTCTTTACAAAAAAGTGGAGCTGTCTGTATCTAAAAAGAGAAACAAGACCACTGATTTAATAGCTAAGCAAAGCCAGCAATATCACAAATCCTCCGAGTTCACAACTGCGTCTCATTTATAGAAAACACAATGCAATTTTAATGTTGGAGTCGATTCCAATTACAGACACAGGGACACTAACGCACTTCCAAGCAGCAGACTGTGTAGTCTTTCAGTCACAACCAAGCATTAGAGACAAAAGTAATGTTTTAATTTTGGAAAACAATATCTTAGTAGCTGCTAGCCTCTAATTTTTTATTTTTCTTGAGTAAAATCTTTGAAGTGAATTACATTCTACTAAGTCAGTGATCAGTTTTTATTATAACATCATTTTAATAAGGAGCTCTTGGAACTCAGCATTAATTTGAATTTGAAGAGGCAGTTGTGTTGCTGTGGGTGCAGCATGGACTCTGGAGACACATGGTCTGGATCAGAATCCCCACCACAAAGCAGCTGTGTGGCCTTGGGCAAGTCACTTAACCTCCCTGTGCTTCTGTGTTCTTGTCCATCGAATAGGATTTCTGAGAGGATTAAGGGAGTCTTTAATACATTAATCTATTGAAACAACGTCAGAGACATTATAAGCACTTCGGAAGGAGTACCTGTTACTGTTATTACTTTGATTGCTTTCTGTTAACTTGGGCAGAGGTGGGCTTAGATTTATGTTTGCTGTCTATGCTTAAGGGACTTACCGCTCTGAAGAAAGGACACCAGCATGAGTCAATATAAAGATGGGGGAACTATTGGCCAGTTTTTTTTCTGGGTCTTATAAGAGACATCGTTTTCTATATCTGAGGCCTTAATATCTGCTCACTGAGGAATGACTGGATCTTAAAAAGTGTAGATGTATCATAAAACAAACCAAAGATCATTTTACGTTAAATTACCAGGTGAGGCTGAGAATATACCTTTCAAGAGATTGATGTGTTGATACTTATAATTAATATACAGTCAGTAGCAACTCCTATCACCCCAACTAAAATACCTAGAAAATGGAATTAGCGAGCATTCCAGTGCTTCTCCAGCTTCAAAATCCATGTTTACCTGGGAGCCTTGTTAAAATGCAGATTCCGATTCAGCAGGTCTGGGTGCTCAGTGTCTGCATTTCTGACCACTCCCAGGTGATGCTGAGGCTGTGGCCTAGGGACCATTTGTAACATGTATAATGTCTCCTCATGAGGACCAGTTTGATTGTGAACCTATAGATGATAAGGTCCAGCACTGTGGCTTTTGGCGAATCTTACCTAACCCTTCTGGACTTCAGTTCCTATATCCACAAGAAAGGTGAGGGGGTTTTGTGCAAGATGCTATTAGCTTTTGCAAGCAGCTCAACTGTCCTTTTGATACTCTCAAAGATAGACGTGTCACCGATTCTCAGTGTGTATGTGTCTCAGCCCTTGGAAAGCTACAAACAATTTGGAGCAACATTTTGCCAGAAGAGCACAGTCTAAAGCGAAGTCTGAAGAGTGTGGGGGTGGGTGGGAGATAAAGATGGGATACTTAGAATAGTTTCTGTCACTTCTGAAAGGTCAAAATCACATGTTTATTTCATGAGACTATGAAATTCTCCAAATCCCATTCCATCCTTATCAGGCAGCCAATCAGCAATATTTATTGCCAGTTCTCTCTGGAACATGATTTTTTTTCCAACAAACGCCTCTCCTTGCCTCCTGCTGTTTTAAATTCCATTATGTCAGAAACAAACCTTAAGGAGGCCTCAGCCCCACTGGGGTCAGAAAAAGGCGATCTGGAGCCTGACTGCCTGGGTTCAAGGCCAATTCCACCACTGGCTACTAACTTTAAAGAAGTCACGTAAGCCTGCTGAGCCTCAGGGTTTTCATCCGTGAAAGGTTTTCATATGTAAAATGGAGATACTTGTAATGATCCAGAGGCTCTTTGGGAGGATTTAGTAGGTTAATACATATATGTACAGAACTTAGAACAAAAACTGGAACAGAGTCAGTCATCAATAACTGACTGCTCTTTTTCTTCTTTGCAAAAACTTTGTACAGTGTTCATGTGACCACAGGTGTAACCAAAGAATCTCCTTTCAGAAGGACAGACTGAATATTCATGGATTGAATGATAGCCAAAAGCTTAAAAATCCATGTTTCCAAAAGACTTGGCCAAGCATGTCATGTAATTCACTCAGATACATACAAGACAATCAGTAATATTTTCCGGGTCCTTAAGTGAAATAAAAAATATGTAAATGAATGCTGGAATAAGAGAAACAAGGGCAAAGCTGTAAGAAGATAAGACAATATAGGTATTAAGAATGACTGCAGTAAGCTTACTAGGAGCTAACTAAAGAGTTGAGAGAACAATAACATTAGCTAAACTATATTTTAAAATAAACTATGTTTTCAACTATTTGAGGGATTAGCAAGTAGGGAGATAAAAACCAGATTGATTTTTTTTTTCTTTCAAGGCGAATACAAGGCTGTTTTGCAAGACCCAAATTATTTCTTTCAGATTTCTTAAATTCAAGCAATAACAATGAGGAGCAGAGGTTTGGGGCTCATGGTTCACTTTGGGGGTCCACAGGTAGGTAGGTGTCTTGTCTGCTTTAGCATCTTTCCTGTGGGTGGGTCTTCAGAGCATGACTTGATCTCAGGCAGGGGACCTACATACCAGCTTTCACCGTGGCCCTGCTGGGTATATTCAGTCTTTACCCTGCTTTAGCTCCTGCAGGCGTTGGAAGACCCTGTGTCTCTCAGGCAATTCTTTCCCAAACAAAAAGCAACCTGCCCACTAAGAAACTTATGTTGGTTGTGGGTTGGCAGGAGATTTACAACCAAGTCTGTGATGGTCACATCTGCTTTGGAAAACCGACGGAGTCTCTGGGTTACCGCAGGCCATTAGCATGCACACACACTTTCTCCTACACCAGAACTAGAGAGACACACCTGAAACTAGAGAGCTCAGAAACCAGAGAGAAAACCACATTTTTCAGGTTTTGTTTTCATCCAGCAAACTTAAGGGCAGAATGCCATTTGAAATACTTTATTATCAATATACAGTTTTGTCAGTATCCCTCCTACCTTAGTTTGATTGAAAAGTTTCCATTTATGTAGCTTTTAGAAAAAGATTTCATTTATTTATTTTTAGACAGAGGGGCAGGGAAGGAGAAAGACAGGGAGAGAAACATCATTGTGTGGCTGCCTCTTGCGCTCCCCACACCGGAGAACCT